TCTGGTGTCAATAATGTTCATCATGAGACGTGTGGGACTCAATAGTTTTATCGTATTAATAATTATTATTAATAATTTATGCTAATGTTTTGTCGGAGCATAAGTTTGATAATTCATTTGACATCAGAACAGTAAAAAAAAGAAAAAGCGGTTATGGGGACTTTTATTGTGTTTTCCCCCTATGTTTGGAGCTTGTCCGCTGCGGTCCCCGTTCACTTTCATTATATGGAGAAGCCTGCAGACATTTTTCAGAAATGTAGCTTTTTTGTTCCAAAGAAGAATAGTTTGGAATTACTCAAGTGTGATGCGAGTAAATTTAATATACTTTTTTGGTAAATTTTAGTGCTGCCAAACGATTAATCGCATCTGAAATAAAGTTTTTGTTTACATAATATATGTGTGTGTGTGGACAGTCAGCTGGATTGAGAAATGAACCAGCTCAAATCCAAGAATGACCAAATACATTTTTCCAAAGAGCCTTGTAATTTGTAGTAATTACCATTTAAAGGAATAGTTCACCCAAAAATTCACCCAAGAGTTTCTTCATCAGAACAGATTTAAAGAAATCTAGCATTGCATCAGTTGCTCACCAGTGGATCCTCTCTGTTGTAGTTGATTGGGTGCCGTCAGAATGAGTCCACACTAGAGTAATCCACACGACTCCAGACCATCAATCAGCATTTTGTCAAGCGAAAAGCTTTGTAATCAATTCAATAAAACGTTTTTAACTTCAAACCGTTGCTTCCGGCGAAAATAAGAATTATGCACAGATAAACATTGTATGGAAGTGAAAACATGCTAAAATGGTTATAAACAAATATTTGGGTGGATTTTGATGCGAGAGGACAACAGGGGATGGACTTTTTCACTTGAGGAAGCATGATTATTGATAATGTTCTAGCATTTTGGCCATAAGCGAAGTTTCAAAGTAAAAATGCCTTACTGATGGAATTTTTATTTTTATTTTTTTTGTAACAAGTATTGTAATTTTTCACTTCACAAGGCATTAACCGATGGACTGGAGTTATGTGGATTATTGTGATATTTTTATCAGCTGTTTGGACTCTCATTCTGATGGCACCCATTCACTGCAGAGGATCTGTTGAGCAAGTGATGGAAAGCAAAATCTCTTCAAATCTTTCCAATATAGACGAGCTCAAATGCATCTTGGATGACCTGAGGGTGACTACGTTTTCAGTAAATTATTTTTGGGTGAACTGTTCCTTTAAAGGGGTCATATGATGCTGCTAAAAAGAACATTATTTGGTGTAATGAAATGTTTATGCGGTTTAAGGTTCAAAAAACACTATTTTCCACATACTGTACATTATTGTTTCTCCTCTATGCCCCGCCTTTCTGAAACGCGTCGATTTTTACAAAGCTCATCGGTCTGAAAAAGCAAGGTGTACTGTGATTGGCCAGCTATCCAGTGCGTTGTGATTGGCCGAATACCTCAAGCGTGTGACGGAAATGTTACGCCCCTCACATACTGTGATGATGCCCTGTCAGGCTGGAGTGATGATTAAAAAACATTAAAACCCATTATAAACGAGGCATTCGTTGCATCCAGTGGGGACATAATTATGGATTATAATGACTTGTACTGTCTTTTTACGTGTTGTTGCATCGCGCCGCGTAAACATAAAACCATGACTGCATTTGTGATCGGAGAAATGACAAACAGCAAGCCCTACTCTACACTGGCCAAAAAACTCGCTTTAAATATATAAAATATACAAACTCTTTAAATATAAAAAAAACATACTTGGAGTCAGAACAGCCGGCATTGTAGTCTACTCTACCAGGATTTAACCACTGATTTCTAATCGTGTCCATTTTTGGAAGGCCAAACAAAGTAGTTTCGCTTTCACAATGAAACACCGTGTCACACACGGCGGCCTTGAGTGAGCAGAGGCCGAGGGATAAAGTGAGGAACGGCCGGAGGGCTAGAGTGAGCAGAGGACTTGAGAACGGCGCGGCCGGCGATTTCGACGAAGGAGCGTCCGGAAGGACATGTGACGACTCCGGGCTGGACTCCGCTTCGTCCACGGTGAAGGCCGGTCCACAGCAAAGTTGTAGTATTTCCTCAGCAACCAGCACGGATCAGCTCCAGGCATGATGAAGCAGATGTCGTCCTCTTTTGGAAGACCAAACAAAGTAGTTTCGCTTTCACAATGAAACACCGTTAACCACTGATTTCTAATCGTGTCCATTTTTGGAAGGCCAAACAAAGTAGTTTCGCTTTCACAATGAAACACCGTGTCACACACGGCGGCCTTGAGTGAGCAGAGGCCGAGGGATAAAGTGAGGAACGGCCGGAGGGCTAGAGTGAGCAGAGGCGGCGAATTCGACAAAGGAGCGGCCGGCGGGCTTACGACAACCACATGTGACGACCCCGGCTGGACTCCGCTTCGTCCACGGTGAAAGCCGATCCGGTGATCCACAGTGCCAAGTTGATGTATTTCC